TTTAGGGGGGCGAGGCTCCGTCCTGCGCTGCCTACAGAACTTGGGCAGTGTTTGCCATGTGGTACTGGTTGTGCAGGCATGGAAGATGCAGAAGTGAGAGGGTCTTACAGGTTTGCACCAAGGATCCAGAAAGCCACTGAATGTAGCTAGAGTTTTCCTGCCTTGCCCACAGTCAGGACAAATCTCTATCACCCACCAGTCCCACAGCAGCTCAGACCCGACCAAGTAAACACAGAGACTTATTTTGCTTACAAACTTTATGGCCGTGGCAGGCTTCTTGCTAACTGTTCTTATAGCTTAAATTAATCCATTTCCATAAATCTATATCTTGCCATGTGGCTCGTGGCTTACCACGTCTTCACATGCTGCTTGTCATGGTGGCTGCCAGTGACTCCTTCCGCCTTCCTGTTCTTTGTTTTCTCCTCTCTGTTAGTCCCTCCTATACTTCCTGCCTAGCCACTGACCAATCAGTGTTTTATTTATTGACCAATCAGAGTAATTTGACATACAGACCATCCCACAGCAACTGAGGGCAGGCATTGTGTTACAGGGTGAAATTCCCCGCAAGGAGGGTCTGAGACGCCATAGCAAATGCTGTGATGGTGAAGCCTGCACGGCAGTGGAAACCACAGGATGTGGATGATGTCAAGAATGTGGACATTTAAGAGGGCAGCTGCAGGCATGGGATGGAGCTGGCCCAAGAGAGAGTCTGTGTGTGCTGCCAGTGACGGAGCTAGAAGGGTGGAACTGCCCAGGCACAGTGATGCTCAGATGATTTCATCACCATTTCCAGTGCCAGACACGGAGCTACAGGGTGTGATTTTGCCCTGCTTGGTTTCTGTCTTGCTTTGGTGGCACTGTATAAACGAGGTGTGGAATAGAGTATTTGTTTACCTATGTAAAGATGTGTTGCATTTATTTGTGTTGCAGTATAATTGTTCAACTATGTAAAGATGTGCTGCTGTTTCACCTTGCCTGCCTAAAGCACCTAATTGGTCTAACAAGAAGATGAATGGCCAATAGCTAGGCAGAAGAGGGATGGGGACTGATGGGCAGAGAGAAAAGGGGAGTCAGCCAGCCAACCAGGACCCAGCCAGCCAGACACAGAGGACACAGGAAAGCAGGATGGACAGTATGTAGATGAGGTAAATGAGCCTCAGGGCAGCACACAGATTAATAGAAATGGGTAATTTAAGGTTTTTTTTTGTTTTTGTTTGTTTGTTTTTTTAAAGAGCTAACTAGAAACAAGCCTAAGCCAAAGCTGATCATTCATAATTAGTATTAAGTCTCTGTGTCATGATTTGTGACCTGGCCATCCAAGAAAGCTGGCTACATGGAAGAACGCAATTTATTTTTATTTTTATTTTGCAGGGCCTTATCGTTAAGAGCTTGCTTGATTCTCAGAAGAGTTTGCACTTTTAAACAATTTTGTAACTGTTTTTTTTTTCCTATGTAGCCCAGGCCATCCTGGAACTTGATCTATAGAGCAGGCTGGCCTTGAACTGAGAGATTCACCTGCCTCTGTCTTGAGTTCTGGGATTAAAGGCACCAGTACCTGCCTTCAACTTTGTAATTGTTAAGAATGAGACTTTTACAGATGAACTAAATTAATTTTGCCTAAGGAGAGGAACATGGTACTTTAGGGACCAGGGTAGAGTGTGTGTGTGTGTGTGTGTGTGTGTGTGTGTGTGTGTGTGTGTGTGTGTGTGTGATATGTGTATGTTTATGCATGGATATGGAGAGGCCAGAGGTCAATGTTTGTATTTTCCTCTATCGCTCTCTACCTTTTTATTTTATTTCATAACCTCACCTACCAACAACCACACTTATAAACACCTACCATTCCCTTTCTCTTTATTCAGTCCAGACCCCAAACCATGAACTGGCAACACCCACCTACATACAACCTCCTCTACCAGCAGCCTATAGTTTGGGGCAGCACGGATGAATGTGAAAGACAAACGTGGAAGCTAGCAGGTCCAGAGTGGAGTGGTAGTTTCCGAGCCTGCGAGGGAGTGGGGGACAGGAAGATGGAGGCAGCAAGGTTAACAAGTACAAGGACACAACGTGAATGGGGAGTGACTTCTAGTGCTCTGTAGTGTAGTAGGATAGTCGTGATTGACAAGAGTTAATTGTAGGCCAAGCAGTGGTGGTGCACGCCTTTTATCCCAGCACTCAGGAGGAATCTCTGTGAGTTCGAGGCCAGCCTGGTCTAC